GTACTCACACTGCCCATGAAGTGATATGGTATTATTTGAAAGTGAACTTGATTAGTTGTAAATGTACACAGCAAACTCTAGGGCAACTACTAAAAGAAGTAAAATTAGCAGTATAACAGATAAACTAAGAAAAGAGAGAAAATACAATCATGTAAGTTTCTCATTTATACCCACAAAAGGCAGAAAAAGATTGGAAGACAAAAATAGGAACAAGAACAAGGGCAACAAATAGACTACAGTAACAAATATAGTAGATATTAATCCAACTATACCAATAATCATTTTGAACATTGATAGTCTAAATGTACCAATTAAAAGACAGATTGTCAGAGTGGATAAAAAAGACCCAACTATGTTGTCTGTAACAAACCCATTTGAAATAAAAGGACACATACAGATTAAAAGTAAATGAATGAAGAAAGATATGCCATGCTAACATTAACCAAAGAAAGAGCAGGAGTAGCTATATTTATTTCAGACAAAGCAAACTTCAGAGCAAGGAAAGTTATTAGGGTCAAGAGGGGCATTTTGTAGTGATAAAGAAGTCAGTTCTCCAAGAAGACATGAGTACAGTGGGTACCTTGGTACTCATGGTTAACTCGTTCTGGACCTTGTAACAGGTATGGAAACCAACAAATATTGAGCAAGTGATGAGTGATGAAACATTTTCTCTTGCAGGGCAGCATTGTGACCCACACAAATTCTAGCAAGTGTAATGGGTCTTAAGTGCCTAGTGCTTGTCAAAATGCAACAGGTACAAGGTTTAAACTAATTACTAAAATTCTGTGGCACACCAAAAATATATTTTTTGATGACCTGACAAAAAACAGATAAATTCGATTCACTCACATCGGATGGCTGTTGTGTTGGCTATTGTCATTTTTTTTTTTAAATTTCACAATCTAAGGGAAAAGAGGTCAGTGCCCCTGATTGCATGTTTTAAAAATTCTTGTGACACACCAGTTGAAAATTGCTGTGATAAAGGATTATTGTCCAAAATATACAAAGAATTCTTAAAACTTAATAATAAGAGCCTAATTAAATAGTGGCTAAAGATCGTAACACAGGTGACCAAAGAAGATATGCAGATGTCAAAAAGTACATGATAAGATGCTCCATATCATAAACAACAATAAGATAACCACCACACATCTGTTCAGATGGTCAAAACCCAGAACACTGACTGCACCAAATGCTGGTAAGGATTTGTTGTTCCACTTATTTATGCATTCATTGGTTGATTCTTGTATGCGCCCTGACCAGGGACCAAACCTGCAACCATGGCATATCAAGATGACGCTCTTACCAACTGAGCTACCTGGCCAGGGTGTTAAGTGCATATTTTAAGTGAAAGCCAGTGTGAAAAAGGCAATATGCTTTTTGATTTCAACTATTTGACATTCTGGAAAAGGCAAAATTATGGAGACAGTAAAAACACCAGAGTTAATAGGGATTAGGAGAGATGGAGGGATAAAATAAGCAAGAGCACAAAGAATTTTTAGGGCAGTGAAACTACTTGGCATGATGTTCTAATGATGGATACGTGCCATTATACATTTGGCCAAATCCATAGAACGTACAACATCAATAGTGAACTCTAAGGTAAACTTTGGACTTTGGGGGATAATGATGTAGGTGTCTTGTGGGGTCCTGTGGCTCAGTCTCCCTGGTCACTTGAGCCGGGTGCTCTGGGGGTGTCCCTTGTGTGGATTGTCTGTACCTTCCTGTTGTAGTTGAGTCTTGATTGCTGTTCGAATGTCAGTGGGTAAGATGGACTCTCACGCTGACTGGCTGAGGGATGGCCATGACTGCTGAGGATGTGTTGTTGTGCAGGGGACTGACTTCATGGAGCTGGATTTGCTTGTGGAGCTGTGGTATCTGGTGAGTCCACCCTTTAGTCATGTCCTTTGTGGAGCTGATTGGGTTGTGCCCTAATGTGGCCTGAAGCTGGCCACCAAGTATGTTGGTTCTGGGGCCTTTGGGAGGGCCTCTGATATGGGCCAAGGTCAGCTGCTCCCTGTGCTGGGCTTGAAGGCACCTGGGAGAGGCTAGGGTGTGAACCAAGGTGAGCTGTTGCTGGTACCAGGTTTGTGACCACTTAACAAGAAGTATGGGACTCTTTGAACCAATCCGTTGTTTTTGTGGGCTTTGTGGACCGTTGAGAGATTTTAGGAAAATCTTTAGTGCTAGCTGAGGAAGGCTGCTTATGTGGACTAGTTGTTGAAAGAGGTTCCAGCCTGGTGAGTGAGTTGGTTGGGCCTGGGATCTCAGGGGATTACCAGGGTGTGGTGAATGGTGTTGGCCAATTTAGTGGGTTGTTCCAACTTTGTGCCTGCGTGTGCCTGTTGCCTAGGTAGGGAGAGGGCTCAACAAAGGAACAGTGGTGTCTTCTAGAACTTTCGTCTGGGAAAGACTGCCCTGACCGCTGCCCTTCCAGCCCTGTCCTTGAAGCTAGTCAATTCAGCTTCTCCCCTATATCCCTGGTGCTTTCTGAGCTGCTGCCCTAGCTCTGGAACCAGAATGAGTAATTTTGAGTGAGTAGTCTGCATGGTTCCTTTAAGACCTGAAATGCCTGGTTTTCTAGCAGTTCCCCCCAACCCCTGACTTCTGTCACCCCTGTCCCCTGCCATTTCCACTTGTTTTCACAGCCAAATATTATGGGCACTTCTTTTCCCAGCAGTGGAGTCCTCAGCTGGGGAGTCTAGTGTGAGGCTGGGACCCCACACTCAGGGGGGACCTTGGTAGCTAAAGGATACTCCCATTTCTTATCTGCCACACCATGCATGTGGGACCTGCTTGTTGCATGTCTCCACCTTTCCTACCAGTCTTGACATGGCTTCTTCATATTCTAAGTTGTAGGAGTTGTGTTCAGATGGTTCTCAATGATGTCTATTCTGTAATTTGGTTGCAATTTTGATGTGGTTGTGGAAGGAGGTGAGCACAGCATTCACTTATTTTGCCATCTTTTTTTTTTTTAAGATTTTATTTTACAGAGAGAGGAGGGGAGTGAGAAAGGGAGAGGAACATTGATGTGAGAGAGACATAGGTTGGTTGCTTCCCGTACACATGCCAACTAGGACCAGATCTGCAACCCAGGCATGTACCCTGACCGAGAATTGGACCAGTGACCTTTCACTTTGCGAGATGGCACCCAACCAGCTGAGTCACACCAGTCAGGGCCTGCTTTGCCATCCTGACTGGAAGCCCTCCCGTTCTGGATTCATTTTTTTTTTAATGCTCACTTGATAATATGTTTTTATTGATTTTAGAGAGAGGTGGGGTTGGGGAAGAGGTGTGCCTTGATGTGAGAGAGCAGCATTGATTGGTTGCCTCCCGCATGTACCCCTACCAGGGTTCAAACTTGCAACCTAGGTATGTGCATGACTAGGAATTGAATTTGCAGCATTTTTGGTACATGGGACAACACTCCAACCAACTGAGCCATCCGGCCAAGATCCCCTCTGGATTCTTAATTGCCACACTGTGGGTGTGGAACCTGCCCAGACTGTGTCTCTGCCCTTTCTACCATTCTGAATGTGTGAGGTAGTCTGTGAAGTAGGAAAAGGGAGGAGGATGATTGACTTCATTACCCATTGTCTTTGTGAAGTATCGGGATACTGTTCCTCCCTCCCTCCCATCTTTCCTTCTTGCCTTCCTTCCTTTTTACTTAGCTGGGATATGCACAAACTAGAAAGCCCTAGCTAGTGTTGGTCGTTTTCACTACATACACATAAGTTATGCCTGGTAAATATGTGCTAGTTTGACTAGTTAGTGGAGTGGAGTTCCGTCCATTGTACTTCAAACATTCCACTTCAGTTATTTTTCTGAAGTTATAAGAACAGTGGGAATGGGTCTTGAACATCATAAGTACTAAAGGCATATTTGCTGATTGATTCATTTGAATAATCCTTGTCTGAAGCCTCATCTCCTTTCTCTACATCAAGGAACATTTTCAGCTCAGTTCAATATAAGGATGTATTGCATGACTTAATGTACTGAGACTTGGGTATGCTTTTGTATGGATACAAAACATTTGAGTCCCAAACTCAAAAAGAGTTTAGTATTATTCTAGAGCAGTGGTTTTCAACTGGGGGCAATTTTTGTTTCCCAGAGGACATTTGACAATATCTGTAGACATTTTGGTTGTTGATTTTGTTTGGAAGCTACTGGCATCTAGTGGGTAGAGGCTAGGGATACTGCTAAACATCCTCCCTACCCCCAAACAGAGAATTAACCAGCCCAACATATCAGTAGTGCTGAGGTTGAGAAACTTGGATCTGAAAGGGCAAGGCTGACGAATAGAATCAGAACTTTGAGGTTGGAAGGCCATACTGCTGGTTAAAAGCAGAGCCGTTACTAAAGCTTAGCTCACCCTAGTATAATGTTCTGCCTGCTATCATGGGGTCCATTTAGAGTCAAATGGCATTATATGACAGAATATTTTATTTAGCTTCACTCCTATTAATCCGGATTTATACTTTTTGGTATAACCATACTCAACTGTTTGTATGTTTTGTAACTTCATATTCATGTTAGCCCCTTTCCTGAAACATATGTCTCTCATTTCCTTATCTGGATAACATTTCACATCTCCTCCAGGAAGTTTTCACTCATCTGTCACATCTCAGGTTGGATTAGAAGCCACCTCTTCATTCTTCCAAAGGTAGCATCTAATAAAAAAATTTTGTTTTTATGTCTACCTTTCTCACTAGGCTGTGAGAATTAGATTCATTCTTGGGAATTAAGTTCATTCTTTTCTCTTCATTGCCTAGCATAGACATGCAAAACAGTGTTAGTCATAGACATGAGCCAAAGTAACTGGTTGGTTCTAGAAGGGAGAGATCACTGGGGATTAGAGTACTGGGAAGCCTTCAGAGAGACTGTGACACTTGACGCTTCCTATAATTCCTTCAAGATACTGATGAATGTGTGAGCGCCTTATTTTGGGCAGGGACAGTTCTAAGACAGTAATAGATTTTTCTGGTTGTGTCTTTCTACAGGTTGATATGTCACACCTCTCCCCAGAGGAGCAATGGAGGTAAGTGAAGAACAGCGTGGGCCCCCCGGCTGGGAACCATAGGTTAATCCAACTAATAGAGTTGTATATCAACCCTTTTTTGCTTCCTTGTCTATGGGAGGCAGTGACTCATGACCAGTAAGATAAGTTTTTTGGGACTTTTTTCCAGTACCTGGGTCACTTCTGGGTAGCTCCCTCAGTCCTGAGAAGTAAATACATATTTGTACCAAACCATCTACCTGGGTTTGAATACTAGTTCTACCATTTCCTAGCTTTGTATGGGCAAGTTACTTAATTTCTCACTGCCTTAGTTTTTTTCATTTGTAAAATGAGGCTCAAAACAGTGCCTATACCTAATAAAGTTGTTGTGAAGATTAATATATGTGAAATTCTTTGAATAGTGCCTGGCATGTAGTAAGCTTCCAGTAAATGTTACCTGCTTTGATGATGATTATCATTATTAATATCATCGTCATTATCCACAAAACAGGGCAGAGGGCCCTGACTGAGAAAATGGGAGATGTGCTTCTGATCTCAACTTGCTGGTAACTTGCTGTGTAACCAGAGTGGGTCAACAGATATCTCATTGTCATGATTTCTAATTAGTAAAGGAGTTTCAGTGTGCTTGCCCCACAAACTTCACCAGATGGCTGCCCAACGAGCTGAAATCAACCAGATAAAATATAATAATGAGAAAAAAATCCTTCTTTAAGATGAAAACTATTGATTGTAAAAATATAGAATGGCAAAGATAGGAACTTATATGACAAACTCAATGAGATTTTAGATGACTTTAAGGTTAATATGCACCAGTTGTATACCTAAGCTACTGAAATAATTCACATAATTTGGAAGATATTCATAGGTTTCTATTTATGCCATTTATCTGCCTTAAAGGAGGGACAAAGCCATTGGTCTCCACTACACTGAGGCCACCCTGGATGTTGTAAATGCTACATTATATGAAGATCTTTAGCTAGATGACCTTTAGAAAAAGGCAGCCAGGATTAATGGTCACATTGTGTTATATGAATAGTGTTTAAAAGTTCTAGAACTTGTAATTGAACAACAATTAAAAAATAAAAGGTCTAACCCTGGCTGGTGTGGCTCAGTGTATTGAGTGCCAGCCTGCGAACCAGAGGGCTTCTGGTTCAATTCCCAGTCAGGGCACATGCCTGGGTTGTGGGCCAGGTCCCCAGGAAGGGGAGCACAAGAGGAAACCACACATTGATATTTCTCTCCTCTTTCTTCTTCCCTTCCCTTCTTTCTATACATAAACAAATAAAGCTGTAGAACTAAAAGGGCCAGGAAAATGGTATTAGTAACAGTATAAATTTTGTTTTTGTTTTTGTTTTTTTAAATAAGATCATGAGAAATCGTTGAAGGGGTAGCATTGGGAAAGTGGAATGAATATGTCCTTTATTGTCCCAGGTATAGGTTTAGGTCCAAGGCATTGAAGCTGTAGGAAGATAGACTTTTATTTCATTATTAGAAACTTCTTTCATAGTCATGGTATATTGAAAGGTAGAGTACCTCCTTCTTCTTAAAGCATTGGAGTTTTATTCCTTCATAAGCACATATGAGTATCTACAATGTGTTAGAGACTGCTGACACACTTCTAGGTTAGATTGTGTTAAGAGACATATATTCTCAAGCCAATAGAAGTATTCAAACAAAGGATATCAAAAATAATTTTTGAATTGAGTGGGAATGTGAAATAGGTGACTTCTCTGGTCTTTGTTCTAGATCCTTTCATTGTTGTGCACACCCATTCAGTTATATATTGTCTGAGAACAAGAAACTTATTTCTTGTTATCTTTATAACTTCCTACAGTCCTTAGGTTATTAAAGTGTTATTTTTCCTTTAGTTTAGCTCATTCTCACAACACCCCTATGAGGAAGGCAGAAAAGATACGGGCTGCTTTTGACAAATGAAGAAGTTCATTTTCTTGGACAAGGCCACAGAAGTATGTCTGAACCTCAAAGTTTCTGACTCTAACCCATTATCTTTTTGTCAGATTTTACCACCCAGGGTAGAGTTTTATGTAAAATGAACCCTTAGCTGCTGTGGCTGGCTAGCTCACTGACATTGGCTGCAGAAGAAAGAAGTGCACAGTGAATACCCTTACACTTACCACCAAGATTCTACAGTTAACTTTTGCTCTATTTGCTTTGTCGTTTATCTATAATTCATCCCATTGGGTTCTTCTTGCCTTTGAGAATTCCGTGAAGTTACCATTTATGCTGTCCTTTTCTTCCCTCCCTAATACCCCTATGCATGAAAATTTTGTATAAAAACTCCTAACTATAGGCTACATTAGTATTTAGTTGTGTCTAACTTCTTCATTCTTCTCCCTTAGCTGGTTCTTGACCCAGAGTGGTAGAAGTAACCATTCTCTGTTCTTAGAGAAAGCTTTCTGCTTTTATTGGCCAAGAAAATAGCTTGCTGCCAATCCTCAGGGCAAAAGAATGCTGGCCTTAGATTAAATAAGAGTTTCTAGTTGTCATGTTCTTGAGTCCTTGAGGAGGCTATTTACCTGTGGATGTTAATGGTGAAGTTACTCCTGAATTACTGTAAAGTCAAAGCAATCCAAATTTTTCAGACTGTACCTAGTCTTCAGGATCCCTGTCCTGACAGAAAGGGTAAGACAAAAAAGCAAAACTTTAACCCTGGAATTAGCATATCTTTGCAGTGTTACTCCTTTATTGGTATCATAAATACCATTGACTAAGAGTATGAGACTTTATGGCTATAATCTTCTCTTTGGGTTACTATTTCCTTCCAGTGACAGGTTGAAGTAGGTCTGAAATGGGCAATGGCATAGGCTTCTCCTGGGATCTCTTTCCTGTTCCTTTCCAGGAAAGGTGTCAGCTATATCTGCCATTGGGGGCAGGCAGCAGACCACCACATTTAACCCAATAGCTGAGCTTGGTTATTGGGGCCCACAGAACCCCTATTCTATGCCAGACTGCCTATCCTCTAAGGCATGTGTATCTCTAGCCCCTAATTTGCATAGTGCCCTACAGCTGCAAAGCACAAGAATGGTCTGAACTTGGACTGGTAGGATATCCCTGGGAAGCACCACCCCTTTACCACCACACCATCCCTGACCTGGCTAACCCCATCTGTTTGGCTTTTAGGGTCGAGCATGCACGTATGCATGCCAAGCACCGTGGTCATGAAGCCATGCATGCTGAAATGATCCTCATCCTAATTGCTACCTTGGTGGTGGCCCAGCTGCTCCTGGTGCAGTGGAAGCAGAGGCATCCCCGCTCTTACAATGTAAGCTGTTTTCACTCTCTCTCTCTTTGTCAGCCAGTAAGCAAGACATCCTTCCTAAGTATTCTAGGATCTTGCCTAAACCAAACCACATGTAGGCAGAGAATGGACAATAATAATGAACTTATATATGAATGGTGAATAGTGTGTGGTGAATGTGTGTTTAAGGTGCAATTAATTCAGAGGATGAAAACAGGGATAGAACCTGAGACTACTTTTAAGGCTAAAAAGGGTAGGCTCTTTGTTTTAAGAGTTATCTTGGGACATATTCATGAAGGAACTATTCATTAGGAACTATTGAAATAGAGGGAGATGTGATCACTTGTCTGGGAAGATCAAGCCTCTAATAAATCTTATAGGTAGGATTTACTTAATTTTTTTTGAAAAGGCAGTGATGAAGGATGTGAGTAACAAAAATATATAAAGCATAGAGAGAACATACTCCTAAATGGCAGAAGTAAATCCTTCCTTGTCAGCAATTACTTTAAATGTAAATGATTAAATCCTATTAAAAGGTAGAGATTAACAGATTGGATTAAAAAACCCCAGGATCTATCTATGTCCTGTCTATAAGAGATTGACTTTAAATATCAACACACAGAGATTGAAAATAAAAGGATGGAAAAAGATATTCCATGTATGACAACAAATTGGACATCCTAGAAGAAATGGATATATTCCTAGAAAAATATTATCTTCCAAGTCTGAATCATGAAGAAACAGCAAATGTGAATACACTGATTACTAGTAAGGGGATTGAATCAGTAATTAAAAAACTCCCCCAAAATAACAGTCCAGGACCAGATTGTTTCCCTGGTGAATTCTGCCAAACATTCAAAGAAAATTTTTATAGCTATTCTCAAACTCTTCCAAAAAACTGAAGAGGAGAGAATGTTCCCAAACTCATTTTCGAGGCCAGCATTACGGTGATACCAAAACTAGACAAGAATACTATTAAAGAAAAAAAATATATATATATTTTATATGTGTGTGTGTGTATATATATATACACATATATATATCACAGGCCAACATCATTGACTATGTGGACCCCGGATTGAGGGTTCCGCCACATTGTGGATGAGGCATGAGACATTCACATGGACTACCGAGTTCTGTGGAGGAAAAGGGCAAGCATGGCTTTTCTCTCAAGGGGAGCAAAAGCCAAGGCCTCTGCTATGACAGGCCTTTATTGGGTTTCTCCGGCCATTACATGATGGTCCTCATTTACCATGCACAGATTCACTTTAGGTGGTTACCTTTCACAGAAAACAAAGGAGCCAATGCTGCTAATCTCATCACAGAAGAGGGACATTTGCAAATGCAAAGGGAAAAGTGATTGAACTGGTTACACTCATCCTTGGAAGGTTTAGCATGGATTTTAGGAAAGTTACTTTGCAATAAACATTTGGTGCCTCAATTCAGGGTGAGGGAGTTTTATCAAAAGCAAGTCTCCCCTGGCTGGCGTAGCTCAGTGGATTGAGTGCGGGCTGCAAACCAAAGTGTCGCAGGTTCCATTCCCAGTTAGAGTACATGCCTGGGTTGCAGGCCATGTCCCCCAGCAACCGCACATTGATGTTTCTGTCTCTCTCTCTATCTCCCTCCCTTCCCTCTCTAAAAATAAATAAATAAAATCTTAAAAAAAAAAAAAAGCAAGTCTCAAAGAGGCCTAGGTACATTGCAGGCCTGATTCCCCATGGGAGAACCTATCTGTGGGCGTGGGTCCTCCCCACAGATAGGGAGGGGAGGACCCTCCCTATCTCTGCACATCTCTGAGTGGGAACTGGGCCCATGCCACACAACTGTCTCCTACAGTTGACTAATATATAGATGCAGAAATCTTTAGCAAAATATTAGCAAATCTAATTCAATAGTACAGTGAAAAGATTATGCATCACGATCAGATGGGATTTATTCCAGAGAAGCGGGAGTGGTCCAGCATCTGCAAATCAATCAGTGTGATATACCATATGAACAAAATGAAGGATAAAAGTTACCATCTCCATAGATGCAGAAAAAGCTTCTGACAAAATTCAGTATCTGTTTATGATTTAAACTCTCGACAAAGTAGGTATAGAAAGAAAATACCTAGACAAAGTAAAGAGCATGTATGACAAACATTATATCAATGGTGAAAAGATGAAAACTTTCCCAATCAGGAACAATACAAGTATGCCCATTCTCTCCACTTTTATTCAACATAGTACTGGAAGTCTTAGATATAGCAGTTAGGCAAGAAAAAGAAAAGGCATATAAATTGGAAAGGAAGCAGTAATACTGTCATTATTGGCAGATTACATGATATTATATATAGAAAACCCAAAAGACTACCAAAGAACTACTAGAAGTATCAAATGAATTCATTAACGTTAGCAGGATACAAAAAAAGTATAGAAATCTGTGGTGTTTCTATATATTAAAAACAAAGTATCAAAAGAAATTAACAATCCCATGCATAATTGTGTCAAAGAAGATAAGCTACCTAGGAATAAATGTAACCAAGATGGTATAAGACCTATACACTGCAAAGTATAAGATACTGATGAAATATATTGGAGAAGACAAATAACTGGAAAGATATTCTGTGGTCATGGATTGGAAGAATTAATATTGTTCAAATGTCAATGTTAGGCAAAGCAACCTACAGATTCAGTGCAACCCCTTACAAAATTCCAATGCCATTTTTTACAGAACTAGAACATACAATTCTAAAATTTATATGAAATTACAAAAGATCCTGAATAGCTAAAGTGATCTTGAGAAAGAAGAACAATATTGAGAAAAGAACAAAACAAAGAAGAACAAATCACACTCATTTATTTTGAATTATACTATAAATCTATAGTAATCAAAACATTATGGTATTGACATAAAACAAATCCTCAGATCAATGGAACAGAATTAAACCCACACATACATGAACAATTAATTTATGACAAAGGAGTCAAGAACATACAATGGGGAAAGGTCACTCACGTCAGTGACTGATGTTGGGAAAATTAGACTGCCACATGAAAAGAGTGAAACTAGGCCACTGTTTTATACCATACACAAAAATTAATTTAAAATGAATTAATATAAAATCTGAAACCATAAAATTCCTAGAAAATAACATAGTCAATGAACACCTTGATATTGGTCTTAGAAATGTTTTTGTGGATGTGATTTAAAAGGCAAGGGAAGCAAAAACCAAAATAAATAAATGGGATTACTTCAAACTAAAACATTTCTGCATGGCAAAGGAAACCATCAACCAAATGGAAAGGCAGTCCAGTGAATGGGAGAAGATACTTGAAAAACTTACATCTGATAAGGGTTAATATTCAAAATAAGTAAAGAACTTGCACAGCTCAATAACATGAAAACAAACAGGCAATTAAGAAATGGGCAGACGATCTGACTAGACATTTTCCAAAGAAGACATACAGATGGCCAACAGGCACATGAAAAGATATTCAGCATCACTAATTATTGGGCAAATGCAAATCAAAACCACAATGAGATATCATTTCATACCTGTTACAATGACTGTTATCAAAAAGACAAGAAATAACAAGTGTTGGAGAGGATATGGAGAAAAGGGAACCCTATTACACTGTTAATGGAAATGTAAACTGGATACAGCCACTCTAGAAACAGTAAGCAGATTCCTGAAAAAAAGAATACAGTTACCCATATGACCCAGAAATTCTACTTCTGGGTATTTATCTGAAGAATACAAAACACTGATTGGAGAGATATATACATTCCTGTGTTTATTGCAGCACTATTTACAATAGCCAAGATATGGAAACAATGTAAGTATGCATACATAGATGAGTGGGTCAAGAAGATGTAGTACATATATATACAATGGAATACTACTTAGTCATAGAAGAGCTGAAATCTTGCCATTTGCAACAACATGGATGGGCCTTAAGGGTATTGTTCTAAGTAATATAAGTCAGATGGAGAAAGACAAATATTATACTATATAATTTCACTCATGTGGAATCTAAAAACAAATGAATAAGCAAAGGACAACAAAAACAAACCCATATAGAGAACAGATTGGTGGTGACCAAAGAGGAAAGGGTCTGGAGGTGGACGAAATGGTGAAAGGGTCAGTTGTGTGGTGATGGATGGTAACTACATTTTTAGTGTGATCACTTTATAGTGTATACAGATATTGAAGCATAATGTACCCCTGAAACTTACGTAATGTTATGTACCAATTTTATATCAATAAAAAGAAAAAAGAATTTCCCTCACCCCAAATAAATGATATTTCAAGCAAATGATAACAAAAGGAGAGCAGGGTTGGCTCTTAAATATAAGACAAAATAGACTTTAAATGAAAAAAGTTTACAAGAGACATAGGACATTATTTATTAATAAAAGGTTTAATACAGCAAGAAGTTAATAACAATTATAAACATATATGTATCCAACAAAGGAGCCCCAAATATGTGAAGCAAAATTTGAAGAATGTAAGGGAGAAATAGACAGTTCTACAGTAATAATTGGAGACTTCAGTATGGCACTTTGGATTGAACAACAACTTAGAAGGTCAGTAGTAGAGAACTTGAACAACACTATAAATAAGACTTAATATATATACAGAATGCTCTACTCACAAGAGTGGAATGTATACTCTTCTCAAGTGCACATGGAACATTCTCCAGGACGAACTATGTTAGACCACAAAACAAGCCTAAATAAATTTTAAAAGTTTGAAACCATAGTTTCAAGTACTCTGGGTTAGGACATGGCAGGTAGTATACTGGATTCTTTTTACACGTATTATCTTAGAAGTTTCTGACCTTTTCAAATATGACAGCCCTTTTTAATATAAAACTTCACAAACATCCATATGATGATAGTTGTATTTTGAAAGAATATATAAGCACATAACTAACAGTAACAATAACAACATTTGATGAGTTCTTCCTATACCACTGTTCTAAGCACTTGTAAAGACTCATCTAATCCTCACAATAATCCAATAAGGTAGGTACTGTTTT